TAATCATGTCTTGCACTATGGGCACAATCTTTGTTGTTATCTGAGAAATTACTTCTTTCTTTTTTTTTTTTTTTTTGGTACCGGGGATCAAACTCGGGTCCTTGCCCTTGCACAGCAGGCAGCGAAACCACTGAGCTAAATCCCCGGCCTGAGAAATTATTTCTGATTTCATTTTTTCCAGATCCTCTTTTGTTGCCAGTTCAGGGAGACCAAGTGGTTGAGTATCAGATTGTTCCATCTTGTTTCCCTTTGGGGTTGCTGTAGGTGATCTGGAAGTCTGTTTTTGAGGCTTGTTTACGTGTCTTCTCATTTCCATGGGGTGGGGGGGCGCTCCTGGCGCCCGTGAGGCTCACCTCCTCTGCCCTAGGAGTGGTGGAATGGTGGCTGGGGAGCCTCCTCCTGGGCACTGGGATTGGTTCACCTCCTCTGCCCTAGGAGTGGTGGAATGGTGGCAGGGGAGCCTCCTCCTTGGTGCTGAGATTGCCTCACCTCCTCTGCCCTAGGAGAGGTGGAATGTTGGCCTATTTAGTACATGTTTTACACAGTACTAGAAGGGAAGTGTTCAAAGTTTCCTTACAGAAAGAAATAATACATGTTTAAGGAGACAGAAATGCTAAATACCTTGATTTGATCCCTACACATTGTGTATATTATCAAATATCACACTACATTCCACACATATGTGCAGTTATTTTACAATAAAATAATTTTGAATGAAAACAGTCCTCAGAGACAATACAGTATTAATTTTAATGAATATATTTGTCTTTTTTCCAAGTACTAAATGCAGTGACACAGCACGCTTGCTTCTATTCCAGCCTGCAATTCACTTAAAGTGGAGGACTCATAACCAAAAGAGCAAATTATCCACTGCCATGATGGAAATGATGTTCAATGTTGGATGTTTGGTATCCAGTGAGGTGGGGAGGAGAGAAGAGAGAGGGAGGGAAGGAGGGTGGGAGGAAGAGGAGAGGTGGGGAAGACAGAAGGAGACACCAAAGTCTCGTAGCGGGTGTTTGGTTGTTGCCTTTTTTGACTCAGAAGGGATGAATCTTCATTTATCATATGTAAAGATCTGAAGAAGACAGGTACCTATACAGCTCTATGTCTTCCCATGAATTCATATGAAGAGAGATTATTTTAAACACTGTTAGACAGCATATATGAGATAATACTTGATTTATGTTGCAAGCCCATCTCCGCTTGTTAAAATGGGTGGGGTCCTCCCTGACCCCTCCCTCCCTGGCTTCATGCTGCAGAGGACTCTGGGAGCACTGGGGGCAAGAAGACACAGGCCAAGAGCACAGGGAGGGGCCGCGCCTTGCACTTCTAAGAAACACAGTAATTCTTCGACATAACTGGGCTCTGACAAGGAAGGTGATAGGCATTTTGTAATAGGGAAATTTGGTAAGACTGAGTGAAAACTCAGTGTTGGCAAAAGATTATGAAAATGTGCTGGCTTCTAATGCTTCTGTTCACCTAGGGTGAAACTATCATTCCCAGTGTTCTGTGATTCTGTTCTCTGTTCCTTTTTTGCTTTTTTTAAAATTTTTGCTGTGTTTTTAAATAAACTCTGCTCTTGTTAGGATTAGTGAGGCCAAGGACCTCCACGGTTTCCATTAGCACCCCCACACTAATTTAATGATAAAGATTTTCTTTTTAAACCAGTAGCTATCTCTCAGGCAGACTCTGGGCAGAAAGAGCACTCAGGCTTACTCCTGGCTGCTGCTCCACCTCTCCTCTGTGAATGCCGGTTCCTCGTGGAGTCCCTGCCTGGTAGCAGGCAGCCTTCAGCCTTTCTGGAGCGGCGCGAGGTTGTGGGCTGAGAGCGCTGCTTGCCAGCACCTGGACCTGACCTGTCTTCTTCAGCCTCCCTGAAGGCCACTTTGTTTCCTTCCGCCACAGCGGGCCCCCTCATTTTCAGGCCCCCTTTATTTCATGAGGGTCTAACTAATACCTTTGTACATGTATTTTCCCCTCTGGCTAATTTCAAGATTTCCCCTTTATCTTTGTTTTACGGAATTTTACACAACTACCTAGATATTACCATCTTTATATTTTATATGCCCTTGCTTAGACTTCGATTAGATTTTTGGATCTGTAAGTTGTTTTTCATCAAATTAGTCAAGTATCTGGCTATTATTTTCTAAAAAAAAGAACAAACTTATGTCCCAATATCACTTGATTCTCCTTACAGGCCACCTATTACACATGTACTTGGGCATCGAATATTACTCACAGGTGCCTGCAGCTCTACCCATTTGTCTTCTTCAGGTTGGATTTCTTTTGAGGTTCTCAAGTCACCCCCCCTTGCTTTGGCTGCCTGCTGTGGAGCCTGTTTAGTGGCTTCTCACTGCAGCTGCACCAGGACTTCCGAAAGTTCCATTTCATTTCCATTTCTTTGCTCAGATTCCCAGTCTGTTCACTCATTAAGACTAGGGTTTCCTCCAATTTTTTGAACATGTCATAAAAGATGCTTTAAAATTGTTGCCCCAGTGAACATCGGGCCATCTCCTGGTGGGCTTCCGTGGACAGCTCTTTCTCTTGCCTGTGGGTCTCTTCTCCGTGTCTCTCAATACGGCTAGTGACTTCCCTTCAACTTGACTCTGGGCTTTTCAGTGTGCTGTGGTGACTCCGGGCTCTGTGAGCTTCATCCATTCAGCACTGGCTACTGTGAAAGCAGAGAGCTCCATTAGGCGGCCAGTAGCAATGTGGCCAGTGCAGCCAAGAAGCCACTCCAACCTGGCCAGACTGGGCATCCATCTCCCTGGTGTCCATGCATGTCGAGGCAGGGCTGGTGTTAGGTCTCAGAGGGACAGGGACAGAGCAGTTATCCACTAACACGCAATCCCGCCCCCAAGGCAGTCTTTCCAGGGCCTCATTGGGATGCCAGCACTAACGTGCTATCTCGACCTGCATGCTGGCAGGGTTGGGCTCTGCACGCAAAGCCCCTGCTTGGCTGGGCCTTGCCTGCCAGCTGCTCTCCGATCAGCCCAGCTTGTCCTGCCTTGGGCATGGACAGCCCTGTCCTCAGCCAGACTCATGAGGGACCTGCAAAGACTCCAGAGCCCTCTGGTTGAAGGGCCTTCTCCTCTCCTCCACCCAAGCTGCACACTCAGCTGCCTCAGGAACCCGGCACTCTGGGTTTGGCTAATTCTGAGGGACCCCTGCGTTCTCCCTAGGCTCCAGCCCCTGAGCACTGCAGCCAGGAGTTGTCCCCAGGCCAAATCCAGAGCACAGGGCTCACTGTGATGCAAACATGGCTGATGATGCCCGTGGCTGGAGCAGTTGCCTGGTGTAATTTGTCAGCTGTCCCATGGCCTGTAACCAGAGGCCACTCCAGCTTCTCGAGCATGGAAACTCCCTGTCACTGCTCACACTGACACAGGCCTCGAGCCTCGGCCTTGTGAACCTTATGGTCTATGGAGAAAACAGATTCTAAAGAAACAGCCAACCCAGAAACAACTCGGAGTTAAAACAGCGACATATGCTATGTGTTAAACGCAGAGAGCAGGGAGAAGATAGCAGGGAGCCCCAGTTTGGGCTGAAGAAGGAACCTCCTACCCTGGAGACTGGAGACAGCAGCAGACAGAATGCAGGTGGGCAGCGGCAGGAGTGGAAAGACCCCGGCAACCTGAAGAGAAGAGCCCGACAGGAGCCTGGAGTGGGCAGGGAAGGGTCCAGGCCAGAGGCAGCCTCCAGGGAGCATGAGCAGCTAGCGTTCTTATTTTACGTGGCTGGGACCAACCCCATGGAGAAACTAGAATCAGGGTGGACTAAGCTCCAGAGGGTACTGACACTAAAGCAACATCAGTGTTAAGGAGTCGTCAGGGGGAAAAGGATGGGCCCCAGGAAAGTATTTTTAGTTGCAAGGTACTACTTTTATATTATTACTAAAAATATTTCCAGAATCTTCATGCTGATTAAGAAATGTGGGTTGGACTACCCGTGTGGCTCAGTGGTCAAGCCCTGCCCAGCACTCATGCAGCCCTGAGTCTGATCCCCAGCACGGCATAAAGAAACTGTGCACAAACTCAGGTTTTAGGTCAGCCCTTCATGTGGTCACCAGTGGCTTATTTCCAGCTACTCAAAATAGGCAATTTTTGCCTAATATAAATAAATATTGATTGTACTGGTCAATTTTGGCCTCAGTTATCCGGTGACTAAGATATTTTATTCTGGCAAAAGACAGTTAATATTCAGATGCATGTAGTACTTTTTCAAACTATTGCAAAAGGAGCTATGGTAATTAGAATTTTAAAGAATTCTGATACAAGAAAAGCCAGCATCATTTCTGTGTAAGAAGCCAAAGTGACACAAACTGTCTCAGTGTGCGTGTGTGCCCGCTGTGAGCAGCTACATGCCCATCATCGTGTGATAGATAACCTAGTCTCTCAGTGTCACCTCACATATATTTTACTCATCTAAATTACTGAAAATAAAATGTATAGTATGATGTAATGCAACCATATATTGTGTACAGTTTGTATATAAAAAAGAATGATTAAAAGTCGATGAGAGACTGTTTATAAATCTTGATTGCTTCATAATTTTAACTTTGAGCAACATTTTTATCATAATTATAGGCTTTCTTAAAGCATTTATGCAGATTGTTGTTACTCAAATGGGGGTTTATTCCATTTTGGTATAAACTACACTTTTTTTCTTTATGGAATCACTCTTTGAGTTCCTAATACCAGTGCTCAGCCAGAGCTGCAGAATTCACAGAGCAGGAAGCCCCTGTCAGCAGGGCGCCTGCCCTCTCCACCTCCTTGTGCCCTGGACGTGGGGGTAAATCCACCCTGAGGTGGTCCCACTGCATCCGACCTGTGTGGAACCCCAGGCTCCTCCCTGCACACTCGTGTGCCTGTGAGGCTGGTGCATTTCCGCTCCCATTGCACAGATCAAGCAACTGAGCCCTGGAGGTTTAAACCATGGCAAAAGATTCTAGTATTCAACCTAGAGTCGTATCATTCGACCCAGAAAAAGGATCCGGACTCCTCTGAGTACTGCTACTTTATTTCTGAGCCTGGAAAAGCAAGGTCCACCTGTCCACTGTCATAGTCAGACATTTGCCTACACTGAGCTCAGTGAGCAACAAGTCACTGAAATTCAGACTAAATTGTTAGAGGCTTTAGCATCTTGTAAATTCACAGCCAGAAAAATAAATGATGTTTTCTCCAAGGAATCTTCACTTTTACCACATCACAGACCTAAGAGAAAAGAAGAGAAAGAAAATGCATTACCCAAAACAAAGAAAAAACCACTTAAGAAGTAGATACCAGATGAAGAGGAAACACATTGGAGGACAAAGAGGAACTGTCCATAAAATGGCCAGCGGTCTCACCAAATCCATCTACAAACCCCTCCACATTCTGAGGGGAAAGACTGAACCTGCTTCCCACTCCCAGCTACATCTTCAAGGTCCAAAGGGATCCCTGGTCCTAGTGGGAAGTCATTAGATATCTGTGGATGGATGGGTGGATGGATGGATGAACAGATGAAGATCTGACACAAAATCCCTACCAACAATAAGGAGTGAAACAGTCAACTCCTATGTTTAGGAAGTAAGGAGTATGAATTCCAGTCATGCATGAGTTCAAGTCGAGGAATAAGCCTTTATCGGTATGGGCAATAAGAAGTCTAAGATTCAATCAGTGTTTCCACATCAGAGCTAATGTGAAGACCAACTGCGTGGAGCAGTTGCTACGACAGCCCGCTGATGCTGAGAAGTCTGAGATGCACACAGAAGCCTCCCTGGAGGACAGGAAGTCCACATCCAGAGGGCCGACCACAGGGGCTCCCCGCTTGGCCCTGCTCTCTCCACTGTGCCCCTTCTGGGGATCAGGCCGAGGGCCTGCTGTGCAGACCAAGGAGGAGGGGGTGCGCTCAGGGTGAGGTTCGAGTGCTCTTCCTTCATGACCCCAACAGTGCTGCCTTCCCTTCACGGATTAGCAGACTAAAGACCAGACTGGAGGGATGAGGTGACAGCCCACGGCCACAGAGTGCGGGCCAGCGGCCCTACAGGGGCATCCAAGCTGCCATCTCTCCATTCAGCACCTCCAGGCACCCGGCACTGTGCCAAGGCTGCCGGCTGAAGGCCAAGGGCCTGGTACAGACTCTTGACATCAGCCAGGGGCCAGGCACAAGCATCGGGAGCTTTCCAACATTACTTTAACTTTTCAAATGAAATTTGTTTTAATTACAAACGGACTGAGAAGGCCCTTTTAGGTTTTATATTATAAAATACTATCATAATAGAATATATATACGCAGATTCCTGCTTTGGGAGACAAATATTCAAGGTCTTCTCCACTGATGGTATTTACCCCTTTCCAGTAATTAAAGCCATATTTCTGCATTCAAGAACCAGAATCCAGGAACTCTTGGCCCTGTTTGGCTCTGACTTGGAGATGATTCTGATACATGGATTTCATTCCTGTTTGGCAGTGTTTCACCTCAGTCCTTACTGCATCAGGCTTCCATGTAGCCCAATGACTGGGGAGAACAGAGCAGAGAAGAAAGAGGAAAGTTGAGTCCATGCAAACATGAAGACAGAAACCCAGCAAACAGTGACATTCAGTATTTTACAATGTGTCAATGAGCTCCCCTTATACTTGGGTGGCTTCATAGGGAAGCATGACCTCGGGCAAACTCATTACCTCTAACAGTGAGTGGGTAGCTGGACCTTAAATTTGGGGAATTTTCTGAGGGTGGGTGGGTCCCAAAGACAGGAAGCTCTGCTCTGCAGGGTAAGCAGCACTTCCTGGGCCAGAAGGTCAGTCAGTGCTGGCTGTTTCTGAGGCCCTGCTGAGAAGGGTGATTTTCCAGAGCCACTTCCTCGTGACCCCTGCACTGGCAGCCTCTGTTCCAATGGTGCCCTCCTTCTCCTGCAGAACCTGCAGCCTTCGAGCTCCCCTGTGTGCGAGCTACAACCTCAGGGCCTTGTTCAGCCTTGCTCAGCTTCTCAACCTAGCCTGCAGGGGTCCTTTCTCCACATCCTCCCTGCACCTCTGCCACCTCACGTGGCCCTCCCTCCAAGACGTGAGTCCTTTGTGACCAAACGCGTCAACCTGGGCAGGGCCTCTGGCTCTGTGTCCTCCGTGCTGTTGGCACAGAGCACGGGTGCCCCTGGAGACCACAGCTGTCCCTGTCCAACCTCTGCCTCCCTGGGAAGCATCTGTACCTCAGAAGAAGCCCTGGGATTGGGTCCCTTCACATGAGAAAAGAGCAGACTTCGGCCAGAAGGTGAGAAGATATTCAGAACCAGAATGAATTAACCCACCCTGAGCACCTGTGTGAATAAACTGCTTCAAAAAACCAACACATCGGCTTTCCCATTAAAACACGATTAAGATGGATGCACAAAGAAGCTGTGGTTACCTTAACCAACCCAGCCCTCCCTCCACCCTAGCAGCCTCTGTCCCACTGAATGACGCTTTGATTGTATCCCATCAATGACAGACTCCATGAGGGTCTCCTAGCTGTGTCTGCGACCACAGAGCACATGGTTGGGTCTCAGGCTGGTCATATAGTACCCTGAATTACAATCACACTGTTTTAACCTCTGTTTACTATAAAGTGGGTACTAACTGAAATACCCATTGGAAGGAAAGTGTGGTGCAGTGAAGTAGCTTTACTCAACGGAAAGCACTGAGAATTTTTAAAAATCTCCCTATGGACGCATTTGCCCTTCTTCACATTTTACAGTCTCCTCAAAAATTCTTTATTTTGACCTTCCGGCTTCATGTTTCAGTTGTAAAAGTGAAGAGCTGGCAGCATGGTAATACAAAGGAAAGGGAGTGTGGGAAAGTACCGGCCCAGTGCGGGCTGAGGGCCGCTAATCCGCGTGGCACGGGCACAGTGCTGGCTGAGAGCTGCACATGCTGGCATTCCGTGGACACACTGGGCATCTCCCAGATGGAAATCTGGGAAGAATTCGGGGGTGACAGTCTCTGAGGGAGTAACACGAATGTTCTCGGGCTTCCTGCGGAGGAGAGCAGCCTGTGTGGATGCCTCGCCCAGCAGCCAGGCTGCCTCCCCACCCCAGCAGGGAATACAAAGGCCCAGGATTCCCGCGACTCTGGGCTCTGGGCCCCGCTGGCATCGCCGACATCCGGTGACCTTGGCCATGCCCACCAGCTTGGCTGGGATCTCAGGTGTTCTAATTTGTTGCCAAGCTCAGAGGCCAGGAGAGGGGTGGAGACGGGAGGAAACAGGGCTGCACCAGCTACCTGCACCCCAGACCTGGAAGGCAAGGGGGAGCAAGCCGGGGTGCAGAGTCAGTGTCTGGAGCCATTAAAGGTGTGGCCCCAGTGCCTTCTGGGCTCCTTCACAGCACCCGACAGGCCTGGTTGGGAGAGGCACATCCTCATTTCACAGAATCCCAAGCTCGCCAGGCCATGACTTTTAGGGGTGCTCATCCTCTAGTGATGGGGACTCGGTACACTCAGGCTCCCGAGCACAAGACCTAGAGGTGGGTTGCAGCTCCACTTTCGAGCCCCATTGATACGGGTTGACATCTGTTTGCCAGAGTGTTTCACACTTAGCCTAACACCCACTATTAAGTGACAAAACCATGGCAGCCTGTCAAAGCCAGCTGACTGGCAGCTGCTCCGCTTACAAAAACCATTCAAATATTTGCAGGTTTGGAAGCTTTGTGTAGTGCTGTAGCCAATCTCTCAGTGATTTAGCATGTAAAATATAAGTCAAAGTTTTAAATCTGGCTTCCAAAATGTTTCCATTTTCCATACAAAAGGGGAGCGCTTTCAGGGTGCCTGCTGGAACAGGTCCAAGCCCAGGGTGGCCCTGTTCCCACCTGCAGATTCCTGAACCCGGGTTTTGAAAAATGTTGAGGACCAGGCTCTCTTTCTGTCGTCAGCTGAACCAAATCGCCTTAAACTCCGAGAGAACTGCTTCTCAAAAGTAGATGAAAATAAAATCAACCCCGAAGAAGGACAGGTACCTGCTTTATTGTCCCCTGGCAGCAGTTCCCAGGTGCCTGGGGAACAGCGAGTCTTCTCATCCCATCTGACTCTTTGGGGACTCCAGAGCTAACCCGGCGGCAAGGAAACAGCTGCAAATGACAGAGTGTTTCTGCAGACTGAGCTCCACTGAGCAAAAGTCCTGTGGGCTTTTTGTCCTGGAGATTGCAGCCTGACAGAGAAGGACATCCTGGAAACAGCAGCTGCGAGCACTGGAAAAAAATTTAAATTATCATGCCCTGGTCCCAGAGAGAGCTGCCACCAAGGCCCCAGCCCACAGGGACCGGCGGGCAGGGCGGGCAGGGCGGGCAGCGCCGATATCCTCGAGGGCTGTGTCTGTGCTCTTCGTGTCGTTTTAAATGCTAGTAAATATCTTTCCTGTGGGTGGGAAGGGGTCAGCCTGTAATTTCTCTGGGCAAAACGTGGAGTCATCCTTTTCCAAAAAACAGATAGAGTAGTTTGCTTTTCAAACATTCCCGGGAGTCTCAGAGGGTGGTGGTCTGGGGCCAGGGTGCTGAGGACTTCTGCACACACCTGGGGCAGGAGAGACAAACGGACCGACCAACAGAGGGCCACGCCCGCGCCCTCCCGAGCGCGCTTCCCCCGCCCCTGAGGAGCGCGCGCCGCGGGCGGGGAAGGTCCGCCCGGGTTCGGGGTGCGCCCCGCGGGCTCCCCTGCCGCGCCCGCGGGACGTTTTACCTGCAAGCTCCGTCCGCCCGCCGCTCTCGTCCAGACGCCGCCTCTGGTCTGGTCTGGTCTGGTCTGGTCCGGTGGGGGGGGGGGCCTGTCGCGGCGCGAAGAGAAGCAGCCGGCGCCGCCGGGAGGCCCGGCGCGGCCCACGGCCGAGGGGTCCCCTCGCGAGACAAAGCTGGAGTCGGCCCCGCGCCGAGAGCGCGCCGCGGGCGGAGTGCTGTGTCGCCGCCTTGGGGCCGAACCTCGGCCGGGTCGGGCCGGGGCTCCCGGTGGCGCGGGGCGCGGGGCGGAGGGCGCGCACGCGAGAGGGCGCCTGCGGCTCCACCTCCCTCCGCGCGTCCCAGCTGCTCACGAACCAACGGCTCCTTTCTATTCACTGGCGAGGGGAACACAAAGTGGCTCTGTACTAGAACACTTGTTTGGCATTGTTCCGCGCCGCACAAAAGGCGTTTCACTGTGCACGGCCCCTTCTCCGGGGAGAAACAATAACTTGGAATTGTCTCGAAAGTCTCTTCCACCGATAATAAATTTCATTTTCTGGTCTCGCCCGCAGCGTGTTCGTCCGGGAGTGCGCCGGCGAGGGAGCGCGTGTGAGCGCGCGTGTGAGCGCGCGTGTGAGCGAGTGTGCGTGTGAGTGTGCGTGCTCGTGGCGCGGGCGCCGCTGGGAGCCGGGCCGGGGTCCGCGGGCGGCGCGGCGTGGTGGCTCGGAGCCGCAGCCCCTGCCCGCCGGGCGACCGGGCCCGCGAGCGGAGCGCCGGACCGCGCAGCCCGAGGAGTGAACCGTAAGTGGGGCCGGGCCGCGGCGGGGCGGCCGGGGCGGCGCGCGTGGGCCCGGCGAGCGTCCGAGGGGAGCGGGCGCCCGGGTGCGGAACAGGTGGGCCTGGCGGTGCCGGGCGGCGGACTGGGCACACGCGTCCTTTCCGGATTGGCCGCTGCCCGCCGACCTCGGCCGTCTGGCGCTCGCCGGCTCTGGGGCAGGGGGAGGCCGGGCTGGTGGAAGTGGGGAGAGATGCGGCTCTGCCCCCGGCAGCCCCCGCCCTGACCGAGCCGTGCTGCGCCAGGAATTCAATCCGAGGACTGAAACTACGTTTTAAAAATTGACATGTGAAGCGTGTGCCACTTCGAGAGCGGTGTTTTGGGCAAAGAATCAATTTAACTTTGACCGGCACACTTGACTGTATTAATTCAGCTATTGGGTCGGGGGGGGGGATAATCTATGAGCCGAGAGCCCTTGATGCGCTTCAAGCGTCTTCGGGCCGGTCTTCGGGCCGGGTATTCGGCCAGGAACCGCCGGGCGTGGCCGCCGGCGAGAGCGGGGCGACCGGAGCGGTGCCGGCGCCCCCAAGCCCCATGTGCCCCCAGCTGGTGGGAGTGACCCTCGGGAGGCACCGACCCTCGCCTGTCCTCCCTCCTCCAGCGAAATCGCACCGACCGCCTCCTGTGGCACCGCAATGCGCCGCCCTCCGCCCTCCGAGGGCCGAGATGTGCAGGAGGGCCGGAGCCCCCCACCCGTGCCCCTCTCCCCGGGTTGAAGCAGCCAGTGCTGAAGAAAGGTCAGGAAGTTTCCCGAGGTGAAATGGATTTTCAGCGAGGCCCAGGCCAATGGGCAAGGCGGGGCAGACCTGGCATTGACCTGGGCAGGGACCTGCCCTGCCCGCCACCTCTCCTTGGCAGGAAACAGATGTTTGGACTGGACAGCTGCCTGAAGTCAATTAACCCATTTAAAAAGTCCGCTTTGTGGCATCGATTTCCTGCAGTGGAAGGGCCCACGGGCAGGACTCTCCCTGCTGAAAGGCCGGGGGGGGGGCACCCGGGTTGGCACGGAGGACACAGAAGCCTCGGACCACCACAAGGCTACACATCAGTGAGGCCGAAACCGAGGACTGCAGAGAGGAGTCCTGTCCTGTACCCCAGGCAGGCCCTGGGTCTCCTCTGCCTGGCCAGTGCATGTGGCCGGCAGCCGGGGAAGCACCAGGAGAGGGCCAGAGGCCTGGGCCAGCCCCGCTGTCAGTGTGGAAGTGGTCTAGGCTGGGATATACCAGGAGAGAATTCTGTCCCAGTGCGCCTCCCCTCCCACTGCCTGGTTTCTTCCCAGGTAGCTTCTCCCCTGGAGGAACAATGCAGGCTGGATAGACCTGGGGGGGGTGGGCACCACCACTCCTGCTGAGGATCAACAGTCCGTGCACCTGGAGGCCAGGACATCTGACCAAGCTGAGGTGGGCCCAGGGCAGGGTGGAAACCCCAGTGTTGGGCCTACCTGTGTGATGGCGTGGGCAGGCTGCGGCTAGCCCAACCCGACCCAGAGCAGGAGGCCCTGCTTCTGTGCACACTTCAGGCAGAAAATGTATAACGGAAATTTGCAGACTCCCTAGTCCAAAGACCCCCTCCACTGCCCTTGCTGGCCTCCTTTGTCTGTCTGGGGCCCTGCCACGCCCCAGGGACACTGGCAGCTGGGGGAGGGACTGGTCCTTGAAGGGAAAGGTGGTACTGTACCGGCAGAGGGGCCTTCCCGTGGGTAAAAACAGGTACAGGTCCCTCTTCAGGCAGTTTTGTGGGAAACCCATCTCCTTCCTCACCGCCTGAGTTCAAAGGCCAAATAGATGTCACTGTTTTTCCCTGGGCCAAACCTTCCCAGAAGCTTGAGCATCCCCAAGGGCCTTCTCTGCCCCCGCCCCTTGGGCTCCTGTCCCTGCGGTGGGTGAGTGGCCTTCACCTGGGCCAAGGGGGCCCGGCTCTCCCACCCTGCTGCCTGCAGAGCTCCGGGTGGGGGGCCTTTCCCGGCGGCGGCTGCTCTCTGAAGTAAGCAGCCCACATGACTGGAAAGGCTTGAAATTGTGTCAGAGTGATGTTTTAATCTCACTGAACAGTGTATTAAAGGACAAGATGGGGTTTACGTGCGCTGCTCCGATGAAAGGCGAGATTGGAGGGGATGGGCTCTCACTCTGTGAACTGCGTGTCATGTTTATATTGAAGCCTGTGTAGCTAATCTAATTTGCAGTAACAGGGATGGCCTGTAAGAAAAAGCACCTCTGATTTCACTTCATCTCTTTTCATACAGAAATTCCTTATGACTTGTCTCCTTGTGAGTGATACCTTTTCTATTTGGGGTAATGAGAGAAGAGGAGAGAGGCTGTGTGGGCTCTCACCTGTTCTTCTTGCGCAAGGCCTTGGTCCCGGCTGGATGGGGCTCCCATGGGTGCCGGGGGGCCAGAAATACTGCTTCTGCTCTCACCAGAGGAAGCCTCCACCCCCAGAGCCAAGCCCCACCTGCGCCTCTGCCCTCCAGGACCCAGGCTTGTCTGCCTCCCAAGGATTCTGGTTTTAACAGTTTGCTCCATCAGATACCCTCTATTGTGGACTGTTTAGGATCTGTAAATTTTAATTCCAGTAGTTGTTCAGGGAAGCTGGGTGCCGCGCTCACTCCTGGTGCAGTCTTGGGGAGAAGCACAACAACGCCCCTCCCTTTGCTTGGGAGGGCTTTGTGTCCCTTCCTAGACCACGTGAGCTTACCTTCTTGATAGGAAAGAAACCACACACATTAGGAAATCACAACTTTTGCTCAGTGTGGAAAGGTATATTCAAACAGTTAATTGTGGGGGTTTGTGTAAATGAAGCTAGCAGTGACCCACTTAATTTTGCAGTAATTACTAACAAAATAACATAGGCATGAATCGCAATCCAATATACTTAACTTGAAGGATAATACTGAACTGATGTAGTTAAAGAATAAGGGAAATTGTTAAGAGTGGCAGAAATATAAAAAGTACATAAAATTACAGGCTGCAATCTTCAGGGTTAAATCTACCGAAGGTTCAGCTTAGGTGGCTGTCTGTTCTAAAGAGCCTGGCCAAATTTTAGAGGCATCAGCATTTTCTCCTCAAAATCCAAGGCTCACGAGCCTGCTCCTCTGGTAGGGTTGGGTTTGGATTCACCGAGTTTGGCACAACTTTTGTGGGTGCTAAATCCGGAGGGGAAGAGCAGGAGGGTGCTTCCCGCCCTGCAGCTGCCCTGGGCACGAGAGGGAGAGGCTGAGGGCTGTGCTGGCAGGCGATGCCCCTGTGGCCCGAACTGCCCCAGGCCAGGCCTTGACAGAAGGCGGCTGGGGAGTGAGAGGCGGATCACCCGCCACTGTGCCGATCGCATCCCGAGTCCAAAGACATCTGAACGCCTCCATCCCACCTCTTTCGCAGGGCCTTTACATCTAATTTCGAATCTTGTCTGCAGCCCTGGCCAAGGGGGACTCAGCGAAGGCTGGGGGCAGCCCCCACTCAGCCTCCACCGGGCACAGGGTGTAGGCAGGCTTCGACGCTCACGCACGCCTGGTGCCCGGAGGGGCGCTACCGGCGGGCACCACATGGCCCGCCCAGCATCAAGGGGGAGGCTGGGAGCTGAGCTGGCCCGGGGTCCTCAGAGGCCGCGGTTGGCAGGGTGAGCCTCCTGTGGCCCGGCGCTCCGCCCAGAGTGGTGAGGGCTGGGCTAGGGACAGTGCAGAGACCCGGGCCGAGCTGTCCCGGGCAAAAGGATCTGAAGAGATTCTTCGCCGAAAGTTTCCCCCGGCAGAAGGCCCAGCAGGCGGAGGCAAGGGGAGCCCGCGCTAGGCGGTGAGACCCAGGGCCCTGGCACCCGCGGCCGCCGGGCCGCCCAGCCTCCCCGCAGCGCCCGCAGCCCTCGGGTTCCAGCCGTTCCTCCCTTGTCTTCTCTTTCATTCATAAACCTGGTGGCTAGAGACGCAGCTTGAATATTGACGTCTCTCCCCCGACTGCTCCGCCGTTAACCCAATTACAGAATTCATCAAGAACTGTGTTGAATTATCTCTTTCCATACAGTATCAGCATTAGCCTAATTAAAAGCTATAATGTCTGATATAATGATTAAATCGTTAGCTCTGCTGTAGGGAAGCAATATTTTGTTTTCCCTTCAATTAGAAGCTGATTGAGGTTTTCAGAGCAGGTCAGCTGTGAAATTTGAATTATATGTGTGAGTACTGCTCACAGGGTGAGCCCCTACTCGAAGCTCCCAGAGATTCTCGGAGCGAGCGAGCGAGCAAGCGCTGGCAGCCAGGGCCGGGAGGCGCACGCACGCGCTGCCCTGCGCTCCCAGTCCGGTCGCCACGCTCCGAGGGCTGGAAAGGAGCTCGCTGCCGGAGGGAAGGCCTCTGTCCCCTTTCCAGAAGGCGCTGCCCGAGAGGCTCTCCAAAGCCTGACGCGGTGCTGGTCCGTGGGGCGCTTGTGCCTTCACGAAGAGCGGCTGGAGAGATGGGTTCCAAGTTCCGCACCTGTGAGCGGCTCTCTCCCTTCTCCTCCCACACGCTCCCCTTTACCTTGACTGGTTTTCTCTCTTTGCCTTTAAATCAAAACAAACCCACAAGAAAAAAAGAATGAACTGAGCTGCTCTGGCCCCTTTGCTTTTTGGGGGGTAGAGCGGAGCAAAGTTAGCCGGGCTTGGGGCACGGAGGATGGGGCGAAAGCGCCCGGGACGCGGGAGCCGACGCCCCCTCCGAGGACCCTCGCCGGGTCGGGCGCCGAGGCGGCACAAGGACCGCGCCCGGCCGCGGAGGCTCC